ATGTATTAATTACACATAGTAATGGGTTCAGTGTAGTATTTACACACACACACACACACACACACACCCTTCACATTCCCACCCTGCCTTACACACACACACACACACACATACACACACACACACACACACACACACACACCCTTCACATTCCCACCCTGCCTTTCCCACCCTGCCTTTCCACACCCTGCCCAATCTCTAGATATCACATTATGCTTACAAGTGCACTCTTTTTAAGCTTAAAATTTTAATTTCACTGCACTAATCCTGAGCATCCTCGTTCTAATGTCAGGAGCATGCTCCCCCTGGGCCTGCTATCAGTGGGACTACATACAGTGGCTCATTGCTCTGATTGGTAGCACTGGTTAGTAGCTGATTACTGGATCTGGTTTGTAGTCAAAGTTGTATCACAGGACTTAGAAATCACCCCTGGATCATATACTAAGCTGGAATGGGTGATGGCTGTAGTAGTAGACTCAGGAAGAGGAGTGAAGGTCTTGGTGTTAGTGTCTGGTCCTGTTAGTAGGAAAATGACCATCCCAAATATACCAGAAGCAGAGTTGCCATTGTCACCTATCTGCCCTGTGTTGCCTGTCTGTGCACTGTGCATATGGCTTGGTTCCTAAGTAACCCTGCTGTCCCCAGGGCAGTGTGGGCCAGCAGTAGATGTGTAGTCACCACTGGAGATGGAAAGTGTTTCTCAGGTCAGAGGCTGCAGAAGTTGATGTTGAGTACCAGGTCACCTGTGTTTAGAAGCAGGACATCTGATGGACCACTGAGAATCACACAAGTGGGGTCACCTGGCCCAGGAGAAACAGGGCTACCTCATGGGTATAGAGAGTAGGCCTCCTCTGCTTCACAGAGCACAGTACATGAGAGCAATGAAGTCCCTCTCTGTACCAAGTCTTGGGTGGTGTGCTTTGCCAATGCTGAATGAGGCATGGATGGGAGCTGGAAAGGGTCCCAGAGATCAGGTCCATATCAGGGGTATACCATTATTAAGAGGAAGTGGCTGGAGGTGCAGTTTTTGTGCTGTGAATTCCAGAGTTGAGCTTCTGTGAACATGAAGCTGTAATTATGTTTGTGCATGAAGCAGCACTGGCCACAGTTCCTTCACTGTTCTCCTTATTTGATAGACATTTCAATATGGTACAGTTTGGATGTGGAAGGGAGATATAATACAATTGGTATAGGCAGTATTTTGAGACCTTGCAGGACTATGGTATCAGATTTCTCAGTAGTCCTTACCTAGAAAACTTATGAGATATTGTAATGTATTTCTAGATTGCCTGTCTCAAGCAAAGTGAGTTATGTTTTGTACTGGTCTTGGGGCTTGACCTCATGGCCTGAGTGCTGTCCATAAGCTTTTGTGCTCAAGGCTAGTGCTGTGCTACTTGAACCGCAGCTTTGCCTGTGGCTTTTTGGTGTTTAATTGGAGTCTCAAGAGACTTTCCTGCTCCAACTGGCTTCTCACTGCAATTCTCAGATCACAGCCACTCGACTAGCTAGGATCATAGGTGTAAGTTACCACCTCCTGGATAATCAAAGTGATTTTGTTATTTTTACTTTGTAGTAAAGCAGGAGCCTGTATCTGATGACACCTTGTACAACATCCATAAAACTGCCAAGTGAACCCTCTGTAGCTTCATTAGCAGAATGTGAGCCACAGGCACCTGCGCAGCGTTGTACCATCACTAAGTTATGACTAGTTCTTCCTGTTGCTGTGCGAGGAACTTATTTACCAGTTCTGCAGTAGCCCAGTTTCTTTCTCAAGTTTCCTCCAGTGCAGTAGCCCCATGGTTTAGATGCCTGGCACCTGTATGTTCTCTAATGACTGAGTGGAAAGTTAACTGGATCAACTCCTGTAGTAGCAATCCATTTCTGCAGCTCTATGATGCTGCAGAGCCCTTACCTCACTGCCTGTTGATAGAACAAGTAAGGTAGCTTGTTCCAAAGAGCTGGGGACTCCCTCTCCTTCAAGACTTTGCTGGCTTTGTTGCTTTGATTAGTTCATCTGGGACAGTCTGTCTCAAATCCTCCATGTCTTGTTTGATGTGAGCATAAGTAGAGCACACCAACATGGATGGAGCAGGGGCTACTTTGGTCATTTTTTCCCTACATCTTTTTTCTTTATGCCAGTCCTGAGACTTGAACTCAGGGCCTGGGTGCTGTCCCTGACCTTTTATGCTCAAGGCTAGAGTTCTCCCACTTGAGCCTCAGCTCCACATTGGCTTTTTGTGGTCAGTTGGAGATAAGAGTCACACGAACTTTCCTGCCTGTCTTCAACCATGAGCCTCATATATCATCCTCCTGATCAGCTAAAATTACAGGTATGAGGCCACCAGCACCCAGCTCCTATATCTCTTCATCCCAAAGATCTTTGGCTTGTATTTCCAAACCCTGACTTTGTCAAATCCCTGACAAGGAGTCAGTGTCTTATCCACTAACCGGGAATCAGTACAGTCCCTTCTTACAGTGTTTACTAAGGGCTCCTCCATGCTACAATTACACACAGCTTAGTACCCAGGGCAACTGAAGTGTCAGAATAGGGTTTGACAGGGTGTGCCATCCATTGAATATCCCCTTAAGATCTTTCCACTGTGAAAAGAAAGACCGCTGCTGCCCTTGTGTTGAGGATGCTGGACCATAGTCTAAATCCTCCTGGGGCTTGTCATTCCCCCTCCACACTGATTGTGCACAATGTTGTAGGGATTCCATTGCCCTTGCTTAGGGTGACAGTTCAGCCCTATGTATGTTCTTGGGGCAGGGGGGTTGGATACATCTCTTCTCTGAGTGACTTCCTGGTAAAAAACTGGTGTGAGCAAGACCCAATCTAGGCTTCTCAGTTGAAGTGCGAAGGGCAGCCACCTCCTCCAGAGTCCCTGAGTGTATATAAATGTCCCTGCCTCTGTGCTCTTTAACTCACTCTTTAATTGGATCATCTCAAGGGTTGGTATCTCTCTGCTTACTCCTCAAAGTAGAGGCTAGAGTGATTTCATCCACAGCAGAAAAATGTCCTATCCCTTGATGTTAGCTGCTTGGACAATTCATTCTGACAGTGTTAGGGCTGCCCCTTAGCCCAGTATGTCATACCTGTCTTATTTACCTTTATTTATGGTCACCAAGGATGAGATTTTTCTGCTCATCTCCTCTCAGAATTTCCTATATCAGTAGCCCACACATGGAACTCTTCCCACTATATCCTGGGGTCAGGATAGCTCACTCTCACTCCAGGTGCATACAATACCGCACTCTTTATGTTTAGGCCCATGGCTCTCATACTGTCCAGCACTGGCCTAGTGGGTCCCAAATGTATGGCTTAATTCCTTCTCCAGATCTCTTGGCCCCTTTGATCTTCAGAAGTCAGTCCTAACAAAGTGGTTGACTCATACAAGTTTTAGTGGGATTATGATTTGGCCTGGCTGGAGAGACACAGGTAGAGAAGCAAAGAAGACAGAACACAGAGCAATGTCAGGTCAAACTGTCACAATGGTGCTCCTAATTTTGAGTCACACTTTTTGAGGTGTTAAATCATTGATCCTTAGGAGACAAAAGGGCACTAATACCTAGGTATTAGTGCCCTTTTGTCTCCTAAGGATCAATTTCAAGTCCTCACTGGATGCTTAAAACCCAGGAAGCAATGAACCCTATGATTTAACACCTTGTCCATCTTAAATATGTATTTATGTATTAATGTACCATGGCTTTTGTATTTGAGGTACAATGCAAAAGTAGGGATTTCTTAGTCATTTCACATTACACTTTTTTTTAAGGAGCAGACTTTAACCATTTTACATAAGGGAAGCACTCTTTGACTTCATGTTGGTATGTCTGAATGCCAGCCTCAATACCCTTGTTTTGAAGCCATTCATAAGTAATGAGGTTACCCATTAAGGGTTATCTCACACAAGCATTGCAGTACTGGGAGAGTAGATCTGATAATGGAGACAGCTATTAAGTGACTGATGAGCAGGTAGCAGATAAGGTGTGGATACACTAGATAAGATGAAGATATCATAAGATTTAATGAGAGAGTTATGCCACTCAGTGGCATCAATTTGAGCCAGGCACTGTAAGCCTAGTTACTCAGGAGGCTGAGAGCTGAGGATTACAGTTTGAAGCCAGCCTGGGCAGAATAGTCCCAATGGGACTTTTTTTTTTAAATCTTCAATTAACCACTCAAAAACCAGACGTGGCACTATGGCTCAAAGTGGTAGAGTGCTAACCTTGAGCAAAAGAATTCAGAGACAGTGCTCAGGCCCTGAGTTTGAGCCCCACAACTGACAAAAAAGAGAGTGGTAACTATTTAAACTTAACAATTGTTTGTATCTAGAAATTTCCATTTAATATTTACAGGCAAATTAGACTTAAATTTAACAAAATGATAGAATGCAAAGCTATGGATAAGAGGAACATCTGAGTTAGAGGACAAAGTTCCAGTCTAGCCAGTATAGACACATACAGTTTCTTAGGTTCATCTTTGTATAATGTGTCTATCTTTTTCCATTGTCCTTTCTATATTGTTGCACATTCACAATAAATACTTTCTGCTGTTCTTAGATAGTGAAAGCAGAAGCAACACAAAAAATCCTGGCAGAAGAGCTTGGATCCAGACCCACACCTGTAGTTCAAGCCCAATGTTTTGTGGTGAACCCATATAATTAGGCCAGACACCTGTGTGTTATGTGAGCATCACACTATACAACTGTGTTAGCACCATTCTGTCAGTGTAATCTCATGAGATCCCATGAAAGCAATTTGGTGCAATGCAAGGAGAGAAATCTGGAGGGACTGGAAACTGGCACAGTGATCTGTCTGGGCAACATTGGCCCCAGCTAGTGTCAAGTACTGCAGGGAGACCTTGAAAACTTGATCCAGGCCCTCTCACATAACTCAGAGCACTTTCTTGTGGCATCTAAGGACAGCATTGAGGAAAGCCATGACTCTTTAATCAGACTTGGTCATCTTCTCTGACAACCTTTTGTGCTTTGTTTTCTCAGATGGGGTTGGACTTGGTAGACTAGGCCAGCCAGAACATATAATCCTCCTGACTTAAGACTCCTGAGTACTGGGAATACAGGTGTGTGTCACTATGCATGACCACCTTAGTCTTCTAATTATCTGATGCCTTCACCTCTTAAATCTCAGGTGCTACAGCAGCTTTCTGATGCCTCTGAATATTTTTTATCTTTCACCTGTGTTTGAGTTGTTTCCCCTGGCAACATGGTTCTGCTGAAAACTACTGTATCATCACCAAAAGCAGCAGTTTCTATGAGAATTTTGTTTCTCCTCCAGTTTTGTTTCTTCTCCTGAGTGGAAGAATGGGCATCCCATTAATGAACAGGGCAGAAGAGAAATTTCTTGTCTTTTCCTCATCACTCAGGGCTGACCAACTGAGATGGAGTCATCTGTGTTGGTGCAGGATGAGTGGCATTGGGAGATAGAGAAGGAAGGTGGTTTATAGAAGCTACATCACTTCCAAATTCCCTGGGCAGTCTGTCTGCCCCTGCAACTAGGTGACTGTGAGTGTCCACATGCCATCTCCACACAGTCCTCTGATCGGGGTCCTGTTTGTGACACTACTGCCAGGTAGAGTCCTTAATCTGACCCTTGCATATCTCTGTTTTCTATGACAGTACATGATGGCTCCACCCACAGTGTCCAACCCTAGGTGCTGGGGAAAAGATGCATGGAAACTTCTCACCTTTTCATTGCTGGCAGTGTTGAGGGACCCCGAGAAGAAGGTCTCTGTAATCTCTATTTCTTTCCCTCCTGCCTGTCTCCCTTTTGTCCATACTTCCAACTTTTCCTCACTCCTTTTCCTTCTTTCCTTCCTCTGTATGTTTCCCCCTTCCTGTTCTGGAAGAAAGTTTTATCTCCTCCCCAACAGTATGGGTAGGTTTGGCCATCATGCAAATGGACTGCTTTATTGGACAGCCCTCTAAGCCCTTAGCCATCAGAGGCTCTCAAGCCTAAGCAAGTAGTCTGAAATCTTGAATCATTCCTTACATTTCAGAAAAAAGAGCCTTCGGTGGAAGGGAAAAAATAAAGTTCAAGAGGCAAGTGAATACTAGAAATTCAGGGTGGTAGATGCAAGAAAGTTGCCAGCCAGTGAGTCAGATTTTGAACCCTTAAAGTAAGAATTTCAGCCTCTGATGGTTCCCATTTATTCAGGCACAGGACATCTGTGCAGCTCTGCACAGCTCTCATCCTTTCCTTGATTTAGAGAGCCTGTATGATTTCTCCTCAGAAACATCCCTAGTCTTTTCACTTTCTCCATCCAGTTGTTATGCATTCATACTTCATAGATGTGTCCTTTTTCACATGTGTACCTTTTGTTTCTTAAAGACCTTCTGCATCTTTGAGAAAGCCTCAAAGTGATTTCTCCTAGTGTTTCACAAGCAGAAACCACCCCACCCATATTTCAGCTCATACTTCCAAAGTCTCCATTCAATGGGCTCAGGGTTTCTCCCTGCTTCTACCCCCCCATTGAAATATGATATTATGGCATCACTATTTGCTCTGATTATTCTATAAAGAAAGGAACATTTTAGGTTGACCTTATATTAAGCAACCTCAATGAATTCCACTATTCTAATAGCATCTTTTCTATGTGCCTGTCATCTTCAGAGATTAAACGCTTCCATTATTCATTTCCAGTCACATTTCCTTTTCTTTTTTCTGTTGGTCATGGGGCTTGAACTCTGGACCTGGGCACTGTCCCTGAGCTCTTCAGCTCAAGGTGAGTACCACTTGAACCACAGTACCACTTCCAGTTTTCCAGTGTTATATTGGAGATATGAGTCTCATGGACTTTTCTGTCCTGGCTGGCTTTGAACGACTATCCTCAGAACTCAGCCTCTTGAGAAGGTAGGATTACAGGTGTGAGCCACCAGCACCCAGCTTCCTTTTCTTTTTCTTGCTTTATTACACTTGCAGTATGATGTTGAATAGATGCAGGCCTAGCACACATCCTTCCTTTCCTCATTTCCATTTTCCAGGATATTTCTTCCCTATGGGTTTTTTTTTTGGACACACTTTTTATCAAAGTAGTTTTCTCTTATCACTGGTTTGACAATTTGTCATTGTAGTTGTTTTTTTTTATTGCATTGACAAAGTCATTGGCATAAAGTCATTTCCCAGTTTCTCTATCCTCTAAATGATTATAGTCTAGTGAAGACCACTATATCAAGGACATTTGAAAATCTTGGTTATTTTCTTTCAGTCATTATAAAGGCCCCTACTCATAAAAGCACTAGCTCTCATTTTTTTTGTTTGTTCTCTGAAGGACATAACAAAAACATGACAGAAGAAACGTGTAAGAAAGTTTAAACATAATAAGCAAGCTAGGAGCTTATAAGATATGAACAAAAATCAGGCTGTATGCTATATAGATGATAAACAAGTAGATTTGAGACAGGCCATACTCACAAAATGTAAATATATGTAAATATGTAAATATATTTAACAAGTCACTTCATAGTAAGACATGCTGAAAAACAGAAGAAATGGGCTACATAAGGGAACCAAGATACATTACTTAGAAAGGCACGGGAAGATGAAGTCAAGGCATCTTCCAACCTGAACTACCTTTTATCTAAATTAGCCACTAATTGAGGACACTGAGTATTGTCCCAATAATACAGAAAAAAAATCCATCTCTCAGGAGGTGAGTGACAGTGGAGGGAAGCAGGGTATGTCATAGGCTCGGTGTACTTTCAGTCTGATTAAGCCCCTATTCAATTCTCAGCTCTGGTTAGTGAAGTTGATGCAATAGACAGACAGATGGAGGCAGAGGCGGAGTCTGTAAACACTGTAACACCTGCTTTGCAAAATGTGGTCCTCAACCCTGTTTGCATCCTGTCCTTAGTGTATCATAATTTCCTTCTATTACTTAGGTTTTCATTTTTTAATATTTTGTGTTTTTAAGTTGATTTAATAAGCCCATGATTTGAGCATTTGATCTATGATCCTTTCTGTTCTGGGAGTTCTAGGCTAGTGGTGTAAAAGGTAGCATATGAGATGCTATCATGGTTTCAAGGGATTTTCTCAGATTAACAGACTCAGACGATAGGTAAAGAGGATCACAGTTCATACTTTGGCAATTTTACTTAAATATGCCAGACAATATGGTGAAATAATTGTTTAAAATATGGAAACTCAAGTATGGACGTTGGTGGTTTATAGGCTAAAGTTCACAAATCTCATGTTAGGAATGCTGAGTCATCTTGAAGAGTCTAAGGAAATGGTTGAAGATGGATCTTAATTCTGTGTTGCAAATGTTAGGAAATGCCGTACCACAAATAGCGTAACTAATGGGGCAGCTTGGAGTCTATGCTGACTGAGGGCACATGCTACTACTCTCCAGAACCTCAGTTCCCTGGCTATTCCTCTCATTTTTCCTATTCAGCCTTCTCTGCCCCTCATTACTTTCAGCTATACTTGTCCTCATCTAATTCTAGCCCATCTGCTTCATCCTGTGTTGCATCCTCATCTCTTCCTCTCTAGGTCTGGCCTCCCTCACCTCCATTTGTACATGTGTGGCCCACCAGGTGGCCATATGACTTCCAGGAAACAGAAGTCCATATCCACCCGTGGCATTCCAGCCCCTACCCCACTGAACTGTGTCCTTCATTGGCTGTAGGAAGGTCAAATAGGTGTTTCCAGGTATTTTGGGCATCCTCCCTGTAGCAACACCAAGAGCAACCAGTCAGCCAGTCCTGCATGAAGGGTACTGACTAGGCCATGTCTAACCATCAGAGTCCAAGAAGAGGAGGCTCATTTAGTTGTTTTTTGTTGTTGTTTGTTTTGTAGGTTGTGGGGCTTGAACTCTGGGCCTGGGTGGTATCCCTCAGCTCTTCTGCTCAAGGCGAGTACTCTACCACTTGAGTCACATTACCACTTTCAGTTTTCTGAGTGGTTTATTGAAGATAAGAGTCTCATGGACTTTCCTGCCCAGGCTGGCTTTGAACCTCGATCCTCAGATCTCAGCCTCCTGAGTAGCTAGGATTACAGGCATGAGCCACCAATACCCGGCCAAGAAGGCTCATTTTGTTGGAAGATAATTTGGGGAGCGAATGACAGTCTGGGAGGGCGCTCAGGGTCAAAGGTCTAACTTTCCTAGATGTTTTATAAATGTAAAACCTGCCCAACTCCAGGTTCTACACAGCTTCCATTGTGGACTTCCATTAAGGATACTCCTCTTGAATAACCATGTTGGCTGGAGAATCACAAGTATAGTAATTTACAAGCATGACCTTTTGATTGGCAGCACACATCCTGTTTTGTGGTTCTTGGCTGCGATCATTTTCTCTCACCTAGGAAATTATTTGCCACCATCTGTACTGTGTCCTTTGGAGAGACTGACTCGTGAGACTCTTATCTCCAGTAAGCCACTAGAAAACCAGAAGTGGCGCTGTGGCTCAAGGATAGAGCACTCGCCTTGAGCTGAAGAGCCCAGGCCCAGAGTTCAAGCCCCATGACTGACAAAAAAAAAGATTTATGTTTTATACCATATAAAAATGTGTGTATGTGTGCGTATGTGCATGGATGTGAGTATATGAAATAAAACTAATTTTTTTAAGATAAAGAAGCCAGGCACCGATGACTCACGCCTGTAATCCTAGCTACTCAGGAAGCTGAGATCTGAGGATCACCATTGAAGCCAGCTGGGGCAGGAAAAGTCTGTGAGATTCTTACCTCCAATGAACTAAAAAACCCAGAAGTGTTGCTGTGGCTCAAGTGGTAGAGCACTAGTCTTGAGCAAAAGAAGCTCAGGGATAGCACCCAGCTTAGATTTCAAGCCCCAGGACATGCAAAAAAATCGGGGAAAGAGTTGCATAACTACCACAGTTCATCCTAAATTAGAAATGGCATTCTAGTTTCAATGATTCTAGGTTCAGGTAAGGTGGTCCCGGCTGATCTGAGAATCATTTTCTTTGCCAGTCTCAGGAAGTTTATAACTCCTGTCTGCCTTTGAGGTTGGTTGATTGAATATCAGTTGTTGTGCACAGTGGTTTTTCAGTTTATTCATTGATTGCATGTGTATGAACTATTTCTGGAAAAAGATACAAGAAGCTAGTAACCCAAATTTCCTGGTCATAGGGAAGGGACAGGCAATGGCTTAGGAGAAGTAAAGTTGGAAGAAGACAAGTGTGTGTCCTTTTCATAGCTTTTGAAAATTGCACTGTGTGGATGTACTACCTTATCAAAGTAAATATTTCACTTTTTCCTTTTCTCTGCCCAGGAGTTTGTTTTATAATAAAAATATATCATGGATCTGGGAAGCAAAACCTTGGTGATGACATTTGGACAACTGCCAACTTTTTTTTTCACTGTGCACCTGCAGTCCTTCTATGTTGATTATTTTGCATATATGTGAGTATATACATTCTAGGAATGGAAATCCTGGCTTAAAATACATTTTCGGTTTTGCTAACTTTTTTTCTACAGGTCCTAGGCTTGAACTCACAACCTGGGTGCTGTCCTTGAGCTTCATTTTGCTCAAGGCTAGCACTCTATTATTTGAGCCACAGCTCCTCTTTGGACCTTTTTTGTGTGTTTTGTTTTTATGTTTTTTTTATTAATTGGAGATTAATTGGAGTCTCATGGACTTTCCTGCTTAGGTTGGCTTCAAACTTCAATCCTCAGACCTTACCCTCCTGAGTAGCTAGGATTACAGGTGTGACCCACCAGCACCCAGCTCATTTTGTTAACTTTTAAGTGGTTCTCATTGAATGGAAAGTTTATTCCTGGACCTACTTTTCACTGAAGTTTCATGTGAGGGAACACACCAGAGTCACATTCTAAGCAGATCAGATCTGTGTGTGTGTGTTTTGGTCCTTGAACTCAGGGCCTAGGTTCTGTCCTTGAGCTTTTTTGTTAAGGCTAGCACTATATAATTTGAACCACAGCTCCATTTCTGGATTTTTGTTGGTTAATTGGAGATGAAGAATCTCACTGACCTGGGGCTGGGAAGGTGGCTCAGTGGTAGAGCGCTTGCCTTGCATGCCTGAGGCCCTGGGTTCGATTCCTCAGCACCACATAAGCAAAAAGAAAAAAAGCCAGAAGTGGCGCTGTGGCTCAGGTGGTAGAGCGCTAGCCTTGAGCTGAAGAGCTGAGGGACAGCACCCAGGCCCAGAGTTCAGGCCCCACGACTGGACCAAAAAAAAAAAAAAAAAAGAATCTCACTGACCTTTCTGGCCTTGGCTGGCTTTGAACTATGATCTTCAGGTCTTAGCCTCTTGAGCAGCTAGGATTACAGGCTGAGCCACTACCACCTGGGGAAGTGGATTTTCTAGCAAGTGAGAACTTCCCAAAATAATTTGTCCATTGTTTCAGATTTTACTACTCCTAAGTTAAGAAATAGGAGAAGTTCTGCCTCTTCTTTCCCCTAGTTTCTCCAACTCTTTCTCCTATCTTTACAAACTACTCACAAATAAGGATTGTCTGAGTTTTTCCTTGTTATGGCTCCTGCCTATTATTCCTCAGACCTCACATGGTCTGGAAAACCTCCTGACTGGCTATAAACTTTATTATAGTTACCACAGCTGCCTGTGGTCCTACATTGGAGTATATGTCCTCCCTCAGCCATGGGTCCTAGTCTTTGCCACTTCATATCTGTGGCCTCCAGCATGCTCTGAATTCTTCACAGGCTCTTGATTGTCTATGTTTCTGGAAGCCCTCTGAATATAGTTGTCTCCTAATTTTGTCAGATACAAAGATGACACCCTTGCTCTTTTTGGTATTTCATTTGGGCAGGAATGGAGACCAAAAGAAGAAAGGCTGACATTTCTCCCCCTGTTTAAATAAGAAGTCAGAGCACATTTTTTGCATTCTACAAAATTAGGGGTTTCCTCATGGTGTTTTCATACAGGTATGCAGTGGACTTCTATCATATTTATACCTGCTCTCATAATCTTCTCTTGTTCCACTCCTACCCTCCTGATGTTTTCCTTCGTCTTCTAAATCACATCTCTTTTTCAGTTCATGTCTTTGTCTTTTTAAAAAAATTTAATTGGTATTACAAAGGTGATTACAGAGGGGTTACAGTTACATAAATTAGGTAGAGTACATTTCTTTTTGGACAATGTCACTCTTCTTGCTCTCTCCTAGTTCTTCCCTCCTGTTTTCACATGTCTTTGTTTTTTGTACTAGATTCCACATATGAGAGAAAACATGCAGTATTTGTCTTTCTCAGGTGGCCTATTTCTTTACTTTACATGCTGATATCCAGTTCTGTTTTCCACAGTTTTATTCCTCTATGTGTCTGAATTAAACTTCACTGTGTTTGTGCATTGCTATTTTTAACCCAAGCTTTTGTTGGTGTGTACCTAGGTAGATTCCCTGATATGCTTACTATAAATATTCCTGCCAAAAACAGGAACATGCACATATCTTTACCATATGTTAGTACTGATTCCTTCAGCTACACACTAAGAGTAAGTTGTACAACAGGGTCTTAATGATAGTTCTATTTTTAAGTTTTTTGAAGTACTGCCATTACTGATTTCCTTGTTGGCTGCACTGATTCACATTCCCACCAACAGTTCCCCCCCACTCCCCCCCCATGTCCCAACTAGCATAAACTGATCCCCTCAGTGGCCACACCTATTACCACATCCTTTCTCTTATCATACCTGGTATTGGTGGTGTTTTCCACTATAATTTCCTCTAATAAACACTTAGACAGATCACTTGACCTCCAGTACTTCTCTTTTTAGAATCACAGTATACCAATGTCCATGCAGTTTGATGTACTTACTTATGAAACTTTTTGGGACAATTCCAGCTGTGGGTTTATCAAGACAGACAACAATGTAAGCAATGATTGTGTGTGTGTGTGCGTGCACTCATGCACCATTCTTGGGACTTGAATTCAGGGCCTGGATATTAGCCCTGAGCTTTTTGTGCGTGAGGCTAGTGCTCTACCTTTGAGTTATAGCTCCACTTCCAGATTTGTGGTGATTAATTGGAGATAAGAATCTTATGGACTTCCTGTCCAGGCTGGCTTTGAACTATGATCCTCAGATCTCAACCTCCTGAGTAGCTAGGATGAAAAGTTTTGAGCAGCCACTAGTACCTGGCTGTGGTTTTTGTTGTTGCTGTTTTATGTTGGTTCTGGTATTGATCTCAGGGCCTAGGCACTGTCCCTCAAGTCTAATGCTCTACCACATGTGCTATATCACTACTTTCAGATTTTTGGTGGTTAAGTTGAAGTCACTCTTACGGACTTTCCTGCCAGACTGCCTTGGACCGTGATCCTCAGATCTCAGCCTCCTAAGTAGGATTAAAAGTATGAGCCACTGGTGCCTAGCTTTGAATCCTCTTAATTATTTTTTCCCTCTTAATTATTGTTATTGTCTCTATGTACAACTATGAAATGAAATTCTTCCTTTGCACAAGGATGTAAATTCCAGTTAGAATCAACAGTGCTCTGTTTCAGCAGTTGTAATAATTTCCCCTCTGCTATTCTTGGACAACCCATGCTAGTCTCTCCTTTCCTGCTGTTCTTGTGTGCTAAAGAGAATTTTTTTCCTAATATGAGGTACTAAGTAACTCATTCAATTATTTCAGTTAGTAATTCATGTTTTTGATTAAAAATTAGTATAAATAAAAACCAAAAAGAAAATTAATAGTTTGTAATGGGCTACTCTTGAAATGTGCAGCATAAGATACCAGCATCTTAACACAAATACACATGCACAAACACACACTTTTCCTTTTTTTTAACACATAGTACTTGTACATATTAATGGGACATAGTATGATATTTCTATACATAAATGAAAAGTACAAAAAGAATATTGAACCATACTTTCTTCATTCTTTTACTCCACCCATATTCCTGTCACCTTTCCTAGTTTCTGATAATTATTATTCCACCTACAGTTTCTTACTTTTTGGTCCATAAGTGTGAGAGAACATATCATACTTGTCTTTCTTGTCAATCTATTTTACTTGACATAATGTCTTCATTGTAAATTAGAAGTAAGTACATCTGTTGTGCTGTGAGGTGAAAACTTAGTCATTCAAAAATATGAAACATCCATCTGATTATCTGGCTTATTAAATCTTCCCCAAAAGGTTGCACTTCAGTAGCAATACACTGTTTAGGATTGGTAGCCTTTCTCCCCCTTTCTCCTTTTTCCTCATCCTCTTCCTTTTCTTGTTCTTGCTGCCTCTTACTGCTCTTGCTTCTGGTTTCATTCTGTACTGGAGACTGAATTCAGGGCTTTGCAGCTTTGTACATGCTAACCATGCATTGTACACAAAAAGAGTGAATTTAAAAAAATATGTATTGTACTGAGGCTATAGGCTTGACAGAGAACTTGTCTAACATATGTGAAGACCTGGGTTAATTTCCCATCATCTTTAGCTAGGCAGTGGTAGCTTATGCATTTAATACTAGCTATATTTAATCATACATTTAATCATGAAGGTGAGATCTGAGACCACAGTTGAAAGCCAGCCCAGGCAGGAAAGTCTGTGAAACTTTTATCTCTACTAAACTACCAAAAAAGCTAGAAGTGGAACTATGGTTCAAGTGGTAGAGAGCTAGCCTTGAGCAAAAGAAGATCAGGGATAGCACCCAGGCCCTCAGCCCAAGACCCAGGACTGGCACAAAAAAAAAAAAACAACCAAAACAACAACAACAAAAAACCACCACCAACAAAACAACCATTACCTTCACAAAAATTATACTATCTTTTTTATTGTAAAAATACTGTGCAAAGGGGTTACAGTTACACGAGTAAGGTAATGAGTACATTTCCTATTGAGCATTGTTACCCCCTCCTTTGTAATCATCTGTTTTTGATCTCTAAAGTAACCAGCATATCATAGGGCTGGCCATCAGTTATGAATGAATGCTTTGTAGTATAGAGTATTCTACACTGGCAATTGTTTACTTTTCAGAAGCTGAAATTCATCATTCCATTTCCACCTCCCCTTGCTTTTATGGTTTCTGTTGAGTAATTAACTCTTATTCAAATCCTATCAGAACACCTTTTCCTATGTAAGTGATTTAGTTTTTCTACTTAAAGATGTTCATTTTCTTTCTTCATGTGCTCAATGTTTCAAGTATAATATGTTAATGGAGGTTTGCCCTGGTGTGGTCTATTGAGTGTTATAAGTGCTTCCTGTACCTTGATGAGCTTCTCTTTTTCAATATTTGGTAACTTTTCTGCAGTTAATCTGTTGGATATATTGAGTATGCACTTAGCTATCTTCTCCCTTCCTCAGTACTGATAACATATAAATATGATCTTTTAATTGAGTCTGGAAGTTTCTGGCAGTTCTTTTCATATTTCAATGTCTTTTTCTCTATGTTCTTTATTTATTATTTTCAAATTGTTGTACGTAGGGGTTTTAATTTAACACATCCATTTATATGTATGTGGAATCTTGATCAGTGTTACCCTTTTTATCATTCTCCC